CGATGCCAGCCGTCGGACCTTTTGACCTTCACGCCGCATAACAAAAGCCGATGGCCCATTCGTCTTGTGCATCTCGAACCGCTTTCTTAGTAACCGCTTCCACAGTATGGGGTTGGGGTGGGGGAGGGTGGTGGTGGTGGGAGTGGGGGGCAGTTGGGGGCAATGGGGGGGAGGGGGCGGTGGGGGGCGCAGGGAAATGCGCGTTTGTGTGGCCCAATAACCAACTTGGCGCCCACGGCAGCTTCCGGGAGTATTACAACCTTCACCTTCAACCTCTGTAGCTGAAAATCAATCTCGGGCGGGGTGTCGCAATCCGCACCACTCCCTGAAAATTCCATTAAGAGGTACCTTGGGCGCGCAGTGATTGCTCACGCCACTTGTACTCCTGGGTAGGGGAGGGCGGCTGTGAGCAATCGATTGTATTGACGATCGATTATTAAAATGATCCATCTTATTTAATTAAGTAGTTATTGGTTGCGTCCCTAGCTGTTATTACGCGACTGCACGCGTGCAGAGGCTTTATCCGATGAATGGGAGCGGGAAAGCGTTTCACACTAAAAATTTGCATGGAATTGCTATTCCTGTTGACATTTTTACCAGTAAAGATGTGCATTTAAATTCAGATCGTAACACAATATCACTTTTTTTAAATGTGCATTATTTTATTTATGGCCCTTTGTCAATCCACTGGCTGGACGAAGGCCCATCCATACCGTGTAAGCAATGAGAGGTTACGCGGCCATTATTGACTATGCTAGTCACTGCCTGTTGATTAAGTGTGAGGCCAGGACCCATCGAGATTTCGCTCACCACTGATTCTTTTAGCCGTGACCCAGAATTGAACTCAGGTCATCGGGTTCACAGCGCAGTACACCGCTAACCACTACGCCACATCTGGCGATTAATGCTTTTTGAATCACGCAATCACTGGGGCATTTTCACAAAGCTCTAAAAGAGCGAAGTGCAGGCCGCGAAGAGCCCTTGTAGGTGATCGCTGTGCCGATTTCACCTCGTTACGGAGTGACCGTGGCCCTCCCAGGGATGCACGCTCGCCTCCCACACACTCGCGCAAAGCAAGCTCGCGCGAGCACAGTATTTAGACATCGTACGGTCATTACGTGTGTCCGAGCTCAATAACAAAAATCCCTTTAACCACCCTGAGTACAATGTTTCCTGAGTTTAAACCAGGGTTGAGGATTCATTTAAACCAGGCCTCAGGCCACACGAGGCCGACCACTTCGAAACAGCCCAAAAAAAAATCACAATTATGAGGCACTGCAAGCGGCTTAGCCGCGCTGGTCTGGTGACTTGAGGAAAATACTGGCAATGCTGTGCTTCTGATGTTACCGCACTCTTGTTACTTCGGTCACTGCGAGAGGTCCTTGCAGTGGCAGAAGTGACTGAGGTGTGTGTTAATGTGTGACTTGCCAAACGTATTTGAATGCCCTGTTTGGCCATTCGTAAGAAAAGGGTTCCCCCCCCGTCCCTGTCTCTTTGGTTATTCTACGCAACTGTCCACTGATATGCTGTGGAGAAACGACGGCAGTGCTGGCGACTGGCTTTTTCTGTGGAGGTTTCCCCCTGAGCGGGACCGGCCACAGCCTTGGGGGCAACGGGGAGCCGCCATGCTCGACTGTGCCACTGATTTGCCGCCTATCTGCGTCCCGCGATGTTATTTTAGCAACAGCAAGATGCGGCGACAGCTTTCGTGGTGAGGTGTTACTCTTGAGACGGCGGCCGAGAAAGGCTGCAGAGATCGCTTGTAGCATAGCACAGGGATCTCGGTCAATGAAATGACGGTGGATGCGACGGGTTTGGTGGAACGCCACACGGCGCGTCCCGTTTACACGGGCTCGCTGTCAGCACGGGCTCGCTGTCAGCACGAGCTCGCTCGCTGTCAGCACGGGCTCGCTGTCAGCACGGGCTCGCTGTCAGCACGGGCTCGCTGTCAGCACGGGCTCGCTGTCAGCACGGGCTCGCTGTCAGCACGGGCTCGCTGTCAGCACGGGCTCGCTGTCAGCACGGGCCGAGTGTCGCAGAGACTTTAGCTCAGGCGGGACGAGGTTTTCTGGCTCGGTTGGGAAGTTGGGATTGTGTTTTTTTAATGTGACCACATGGACTCATTTTGTCTGTTGAGATCACTGTTTTTTTGTTGTTTGTGCATCTTTGCTTTGATGCCATCTATTTATTTGTTTATTTGTTGTTACTTTTTTTTTATTTTGCCTGCAGGTAGGGTTTTCATTTGCTTGCCAGTGACTGTACATGGGATTTGGTCCTCATATATAATCAACGAGGGGGTGGGTGGCCAGCACCACGCCCGGCCGCCTTTGTCTCCCCAGTGACGATGTTCACGCACCACACCAGTTACTCGTTTGAGGCTGAGTCGACCTAGGGGAGGCCCAGGACCGGTTCAAATAATCGTCACCGGTGGTGGCCGTGAGCGGAAATGGAACTCGGGTCACCGGGTTCGTAGCACAGCGCGCTAACCACTACACTACCGCTCCCCCCACACACACACGTGTTCGTCCATAGGTACACATACACGCGCTTGCTGCAGACACACCACGCAACTTTGAGGGTGCGTACGGCAGTAAACGACTGAAATAATAAAGCAATGCTGCGCGAAGAACGCCTGAGACCTGCAACACATTTGTATGGCACTTTACTCGCGGAGGGTTGGGGGGGGCATGACATGAGCAGGCACACTGCGTTACGCTTCCGCATGCGCGGGTCACATGACAGATGTGACGTCACAGCTCACTTGCCATGCAAAAAAATATGCATTATTGAGCCCCCCCCCCCCCAAAATATATACAAAAGTCATTTTTATAATTTTTGCATGGTGTACAGTCTGGAAAGTACCGACATGGCAAATTTCAAGTTTGTTGCATGTCGGGAAGTATGCTAAACATTTTGAACAGACACACATTCACAAATTTCCCTTTTATATATAGAGATGTACGGCGTTATGGGATGCTTTGAGCATGAATGACGCTATGTAAAATGAAAGTATTATTATTAAAGGTGACTCGTCAGCCTTTGACAACTACGGTGTTGAAACACATTCGTAGAGACAGTTATTTGTGTGCAGTGGTTCGGTTGTGTAGCCAGCAAGACAGTTACAAGTTCACGCCCCAGCCTGGATTCAGCTCGGTCCCTTATACCATCTGGAATCGATCAAATGAGTTCAATGTCATAGGCTCTTGGCAATGGTTGTCTGACTATGCTTTAACCCTCACCACTAGTAATGTGGAATTTCCACTACCTGCTCAGGGCTGTGAACAGGACCTGCGCACCACCCCACCGCCAAGACGGTTCAAGCCAGAAACAACAACAACAACAACAGTAAATAATAATAAATGGGTGGATCAGTGGTGCAGTGCTTAGCGCACTGCACTATGAGTCCAGTGACGTGAATTCGATTCCCGACGACTTCTAACGTCAGCGGCGAGTGATATCTGAACCTGTCCTGAGTTCGCGTCTTCTACCAACCCACACTGACCAGGGGTGATGAAATATCATCCAACAGAGCACCCCCCCCACCAATGGACACAGCATTGGGAGGCCTTCATCCAGCAGTAGATTGACAAAGAGTGGTGTGAATTTGAACGCTTGAGGTACACGCGGTGGGCCTTAAAGGTGGCCTTCAGAGAGCCATTGACATGACTTGGCAAGTTGCCCCCCCACCCGACACTCGTCGGTTACCCCTGCATTGACCGTCGGTGCCCTGCGGTGCCTCCGACGGAGCTGGGTGGTGAGGAAGCCAGATCCTGCCCACTGTGTCTCTCACTCAGCGCTGCTGAATGTTTCTTTAAGCTTTTTTTTTTCTTAGACATGCACAGAGGTGACCGGGAGAGCAAAGGTGCTAACAAATCCCAGCGACGCTTTTCAAACGAGGCTCCCAGCTACAGCTCACCACCCCACCACCCCCGCGTGGCTGAATACAGAGTAGCTGTTCTGAGGTCCCTGTTTGGACGGTATGCGGAATACAGGGAACTTCGTCCTGACACTGGCTCCTCAATTGTAGTGTGAAGAATTGTAATGCTGGTAAGATTTATAACAACACAAAAAAAATGTCAAGGCTTCTCCCTTTTTTTTAAGAGGCTCATCAAATATTTAACAACATTCTTTACGCGCAGGCCTCCCCCCCCATTGTTCATTGATGCTTCGGGCCATTTTTTTTTTGTTCACACTGAAACTTTCAGCGCAACACCACGGGAGTTGTGTGTGTGGGCTTGAGCTCGAGTAGTACCATCGCTTGCCCGGTTGCGGCTTGGCAGAGGATGTGCCCGATATTAGTGTGAGCCTTTGTTAAGGGCAATTCCATGCTCCTCATCCTGCGTTGGACTCTCGCCGGCAGCGCGTTCGCGTAAGCGGTGCGAGGCGTTGTGCCGGTTCCCCGGTGCGCGCCGCTCCCTCGCCGCTCTCCACACGGTCGTGCGAGGAGTTGCTCTGCGGCAGAGCGGTTCGATGCATTGTTACACATCCATTTGTAATAACTAAACTCTAAACTCTCTTTTACTTTACCAGGTAAGGCGCACTGAGTTATATACCTGCATTTTTCAGAAGCGATCGAGCCACAAATGATAGCTCAACGAAGTGGCTTATCACGTGGAAATGTATAGCAGTCAAATAGTCTAAACGCATGTTTCTAAATGTGGAGGGAAAAACCGTAAGAAATGGAGAAAAATTCACATGACCACGAGGAGAGAGACATGGAAACTCCAAATATACAGGTGCCAGTGTCGGGATCGAACCCACAACTTCCTTTATACCAGGCGAGGTAGTTAACATCTCGCCACCATGGCACCCCTACTACAGACGTAAAAAATTCGCTAAACGATGTACAAATTAGGCAATTTTAATTGTTAAGCCTAACAACTTCTTTGTGGAGGAAACCCACCCCCCCCCCCCACTTTATCTTGCTGCGACCTAGGCTGACCGATCGAACACATCAGAGCCTCCGGTTGACGGTGTTGCTTGTTTTTCGCGTCCGCCAGGGAGGAGAAGGAGCGCTGGATCCGGGCCAAGTATGAGCAGCGCCTCTTCCTGGCGCCCATCCCCTATGCGGACGCCTCGCTGGGCCAGACGCTGTGCCGCGCCGTCCGCGCCGGCGACCTGCGCTTCGTCGTGCTGTTGCTAGCGCACGGCACGCGCAGCGACGTCAACGAGCCCGAGGAGGACGGCGATGATGACGACGACAACGACGACGAGGGAGGTGGGGGCACCGCCGGCAGCGTCCGTCGTCGTGGTGGTGACAGCATGGCCTGCACTGCGCTTCACCTCTCCTGCGCTCTGCCCGACGTCGTCATCACGCAGCTCCTCGTCTGGGTGCGTGTAGGGATCCCAATGCCCCTCATTATTTTTCCTCATTTAGTTTTTGTCGTGAGATCGGTGATGGGCTTTCGTGACTTTGTGACGTTGTTTTCACCAGGCCTCGTGGACTAAATGTATTTTTTTTTCTCCCAGGAAAGCCAACCTGTGTATTTAAGAAGAGCACAGTGCCCCGAATAGTTCCCTCCACCACCATAAAACAATTAATTGATCTCAAACTCCTGAATGTGACACATTCCCGGAGACTCTGGGGCCTTGGAGACAGAAAATAATGCCAATTCTTTACCCAGGAAAGCCACGCTTATGCTCAGGAGGAGTCTTGCGCAAGCAGACGTTTAATCGTAAATGGGTTATTTTTTTACAGCACATGCCTTAGCGTGTCTATAGAGTTCAGTTTGGACACTCGCAACATTCGTTATAAACACTGCCTTGAAACATAAAGAGAGGGTTGGGTGGTGACATTGTGGTTAAAGCACTGCGCTTCAAAACCTGGGTTTGATTCCCAGCCCTGGGGAAACCATCAGTGGTGGTAAGCGATGTCTGAATCAGTCCTGGGCACCACCTTCATCAACTCGCAGTTAGCAGCGTGAAGTATAAGTCTTGAGAATTCTCATGACCGACATGGCGTGAGGAATCCTACACCTCATAGATTAGGCTGGTGTTTCGGGCAATATCCCTTCAGCAGAGCAGAGAGTCCCTTTCAGCATAGTTCATGAAAAATGTGGCGAATTTCATATATATATTGCACTAATTAGCTAACCGTGCTAATCCCTGAATCGTGTTGTTGAATTTGTTCACCCATCCCGGCGACGCACGCCTTTGACTCTCCCGTCTTATGAACCCCCCCCCCCCCCTCCCGCACCGGGCCGTGTTTCTCTCCCGCGTCGTTGCGTACGCAGTACGGAGCCGACGTCCTCGCCCGCGACGCGCTTGGCCGCACGCCGATGACGTACGCGCGCCAGGCCCGGTGCCAGGAGTGCGCCGACGTGCTCGCGCAGCACGGCTCCCCCACCGACCACGAGCCGGGCCGCTACCCGCCGCCCAGGTTGGCCCTCTCGCCGCCACGGGGGGCGGGCGGCGCGTTCCTCGCCAACCACGCCAAGCAGCCGAGCGGCGGACCCGGCTCCCGGCAGGGGTTCGCCGCACCCAGGCTGGGCAACGGATGAGTTTGCCACCCCGCCCCCTACACCCGCCCCACTCGCCCCACCCGCCCCGCCTGCCCCCTTCTTCCCAGAGACGTCGGACTCGACGCCGGCGGCCCCCGCTGACGAACCAACGGGACTTGCGATTGAGCCGTGCTGCGCAGCTCCACGTAGCTGGGACATTAGTAGGGAACCTTTGTAGTGAGTGAGCGTTCAACAGGAACGTTCTTCGGAAACTTTAGCGGTGAACGTTTTACGCTCGCATGGGTGAGGGGTTTTTTTCTGCTATTTTCACGCAGGCAGCTTGCTGTTGAGACCTTACCGTCATTCGAACGGCAGTTTAAACTTGTTTTTCTTTTTCTGTTTTAATCGGCCACCGGGAAATGATCGCATGTGGCTTCTTGAAGAACGGTTTCCATTCACACTGCAAAACTGAGATTGATCAAAGGGATTGATGGTATTCAGCTTCGGTCTGTGTGGTGTATCATTACGGCCGGAATGCATTCACAGAGCCCGAACATGTGCTCGCCCTCTCTCCCTCTCATCTGCCAAAGTGATCACAGAAGGCACATAAGTAACGTGTGAAACAATATTATTTATTTATTTATAATGCTTACGAGTTTTAAAAAAAAGATGTACATATTGAAACCCAATTATACTTTCGGATGAGCCGATTAAACTTTTTTTTCGTCAATAAATTTTCACCACACGCAAAAGAAAGGGAGAAAGTTTAAATTGGCGCTTGACGAGTGTGCGTTCTAAACGTTAAAAGAGAAACTCAACATCAAGCACAATGGCTAATTGTGTTAAGAAGAAATCTACGGTTGGCTTGAAAATCGGCCCCGTGTCTGGGTCGCGTGTCTTTGATGGCGCAGATTCTCGTCGTCGTTAGACGAGGGCAATAACCGGTCCGCGCACGTTGGACCAAACGAAACACCCGCTGCCTTAATTCCACCACCTTTACATATCCACTGGAAGATGAGGGATTGTCGAGACTGAAGGGGAGCCATCCAGCAATAAGACTCAAACTTTTATAGCGATACAGATCTGTAATAAAGACCCTCCGTGAAGTGGCAAGCACAATATTTGATCGTAAGCGCCTTGGTGTATATTTCTTTTGTTTGTAATCGATACTTAAGAGGTGGGGAGGCGGGGGGCGGGGCACGGCGGTGTAAATGTGTTTGCTGCGTTTACAGTGATGTACAAAGTACTCCTTGTACTTTTTGTTCAGCATTAGCATACACCTCTGTGAACGCCGCGTGCAGGCATGACAGGGTATATTATTCACTCTTTGTGAGCAAGGCAGAGGTTGTGCACTACGCGAGGCAGCCACATGAAAGGGCAGGTTCGAGAATCAAGTCGAACCCAACAAAGGAGAGAAAGCAACCTTTAGATTTAGACAGCAGTCAGTCCGGGGTAATTGGCAGCAGGCGGACACAGAGAAGAGAGAAGGAGCGAATCTCCCATTGAGCAGGGAAACTTTGATGGAAAGTCAAGACAGAGGGAGAGAAGAGGGTGGATCAGAATTGAGAATATTTATTCATACTGGAGAAACCCGACGAGCTATAACGCTCTTTTTCACAGGTGACCGGTAGGGCCGGGTTCAGAACGTCACAACAACAATGCTGTGCGGGTAATCGGACAGACTTCCCCTTTTAGGGTTTTCTTTTTTCTTTCGTGGGGCAGCTTTGGACCAGCAAAAGCGGTGGCTGCTTTAGCCTCGTAGGCACAAGTGGACAACAGCCATAGCCACGCAAACTCGCGCGCGCCCCACCACACTCACAGCGTTCGCATTTCACAGGAGGGGGGAGCCTTGGCGGGTTTCGTGACCGAAATTTACCTGCTGGAAAATTGTCCTTTAAAATTCGACGGCGACGTGTGATAAATCACCATCGCCGTTGGTCGTCAGCGGGGATGGATGGATCATCGTATGCAGCAGTGCTCATCGCATCATCAACATCATCTCCGGCAGTCATCGTCATCCTCCTCAGCTGCAGCAGAAGCATCAGCTGTGGCAGCAGTCTCATCATCAGCTGCTGTAGCAATCATCAGCTGCTATTAACGATCACCAACTGCGTCAACATTCATCACCGTTCACCACCACCGTCGTCGTCATCGTCGCCGTCAGCCGTCTCGATATTTATTTTTGCGAAGCGCCTTTCTCACATAAAAAAACACATACGCAGTGTAAACGTGTTCGCGCACGCGTGTAAGTTTCATACCTGTCAACCCATACGGTTTACCCCGTATTCTTGTACAGGGAAATTGAGTTTTCAGGTCCATAAGGCGATACGGCCGTTTCAATACGGGCAACAACAAAAAAAGCGTCTATTTTTTGTGTTTCTCCCTTGTGATGGGACTTTGTAGGATGAACGTTGAGATTTATAAAGAGCACGGGTTGACCAACACGGTCTGAATTGGTCTGTAATAAGGTAGGCACTGACAAGGGGTTGACAGGTATGATGTGTGTGTACGCGCGTGCGTGTGGTTACGCGTGTACGCGCGCGTCTTGTGTCCGCGCGTGTGTGAGTGCACGCGTGTGTGTTTCACGTCGTGGTTGCGCACCGCTGCAGCATTGCGCTGGCAAACTCGTCCGCCGCGTATAGGTTGCATAAATGTAATGGATGCTGGGAGCGGCGCGTGTGTAATGTAAATGGGCGAAATGTTTCCCCCCCCCCCCGATGTTGCTCTTTTATGGCACTTGTTTGCTGACGGTGCTGATGCTACGCAGTGTGCACCGCGGAATAAGTGAATAACATCTCTCGGAGAGAGGGGGGAACGTAAGGATTGGATAAACAACAACAACAACAACATTCTCCATCCCCCCACCTCCCCCCACCGGAGATATGAGCCACAACCAGCCAGGCCCTCCCAGCCCCCCACTCCGCTACCCCAGTCCCCGCTCGTTGGTGTGAAATAGCGAACAGTTTGGCTGCGTGGTGAGAGCACGGCACGCGTATCTTGGGGTTTGTTTAGCGAGATCGGGGAGGGGGGGGGGAGGAGGGGACCCCCCACAGACAGGAGAGGACTTGCACTGTTTTCGCGTGTGGAGCTTAATTAGCGCTAATTAAGCTGTGAGCGGCCTAATTTTTCACCATGGCGCGGCTTCCTCCGTGCTGGAGGGAGTCTTGCTTTTTTTTTTATCGGTGACATCCCCTCGACTCGCTGCCCCTCGACCTCTCTCACCCGTCCCCATCGCCACGGTGTCATGCAGGGGGGTGCCTTCCTCCGTGCGTGCGCTTGCGCGGGGGCGGTGCGCTCATCCTGGCCGGCCTGAGTTCGATTCCCGGTCACGGTTGACATCGGCAGCAAAAAATATCTTCTTACAGTGAGTGGGTCCTTGTCTCTTCCCACGTGGTCAATTTTCAGCCTTACTTGAGCACCTGTTGCCAGGTATTAAACACACCGGCAATTGGCGAGACGAGGACGGTCGAGCACTGGGGCCCGACCTAAGCGTTCCCCGGATGACACCATGCCGACCTTTGATTTAAAAAAAAGGTGCCCTCCGACAGGGGCTCGCTCGTCGCCATCACAGGCTACTCGGGGTTCAAGCCCGTCGATTAAACAGCCGCACAGCTGCACTGCGGATTGACGTCCCCACTGGAGGGCGAAGCGGGTGTCGCTCCGAATGCTCCCGTGCTCTTCTTGTCCCGAGCGATGGTCGCACTGACACCAGTTGGTGACGTTTGGCGCACGGTACAACGGCGCAGCTGGCTTCTAACTACCTGGCGAGTTCGCGAGTGCAGGACGTGCACAAGGCGACCGTGAATCCATTCGCGTGTTATTCTGTCGTGCGACACGCGTGTTGTTATTCTGTCGTGTGACGGCGTGTGTTGTCGCTGCGTGTCACTGTGTGCGACAAGTGATTGACTCCTTATGTATATTCGTATGTGCTGAATATCTTTGTGCTGCTGCGTGAGACTCCGTATGCGTGTATCAGTGTGTGGACGACTGCGCGTGTGTATCACTTGAACGTAATTCATTCATGGCATCAGAAGCGGACCCTGGTCACTCAAGGTTCGACTCAGCCTTCATAAATAATCATTCGTCGGGTGTCAGCTGCGGTGTATAGACATCAGCACTAGGGAGACAAAGGCGGTCGGGCGTGGTACTGACCACATATCACCCTCTCGTGCGCCACTTCGACCTTGATAGGTGCTCGCGTTTTTTTTTCTTTAAAAGGCCATGCGGGATGTCTTTGTATGTATATGTGTATATTAATGTGTACGTGTGCATGTTTGTCGCAGTGTTAATACAGTGCACGTGTGTGTGTGTGTGTATCACTTTGTATCGTTGTGTGAGGAGCGGTGACGCAGTGGTTAGCGCACTGCGCTGCGAACCCGCCGACCCAAGTTTGATTCCTACTCACGACCAATAACAGCGGCGCACGTTTGAACTGGCCATGATGCGCCCTCCCATTTGTCAAGTCTGCCTTCAATGAGTACCTGGTGCGGTGTGTACACATTAGCGTTGGGGAGGAGACGTTGGGGAGGCCGGGAGTGGTGTTGGCCACCCACACACACACACATTTGCCGTGCCGGCCTTCATAGGTGCTCGCAAGTAGCACTATGCCCAACAGCGCGTTAAAAGGCTATACAGGGGGGCGGGTCTTTGTATTGTCACTGTGTATGCGTGCGCACCACTCCGTATATGTGTGTGCGTGCAGCACACTATGTCTATACCGTATGTGTGTACCACACTTTAACATCGTGTGTGCAAAGCCGTCCCTCTGGTACGGTGAATTGGGGCGACCGCCCCGGGCCCCGGGCTTTGAGGACCCCCCCCCCCCCCACGCGCTTCGACGTCACGGTGTGTCAGATGGTTTAGTTTGAAGGCGCTGGGGTTGGGGGCCCACGCAGAGGGAATTGTCCCCGGGCCCCACACCCCCCTATGCATGGCCCTGTGTGTGTGTGTCACATTCTGTGTGTATCACATTCTCTATGTGTGTGTACCACATTCTGTGTGTACCACATTCTGTGTGTGTACCACATTGTGTGTGCCACATTCTGTGTGTGTACCACATTGTGTGTGTACCACATTCTGTGTGTATGTGTACTATTCTGTGTGTATCACATTCTGTATGTGTGTGTGCCACATTCTGTGTATTTACCACATTCTGTGTGTGTACCACATTGTGTGTGTGTACCACATTGTGTGTGTGTACCACATTGTGTGTGTACCACATTGTGTGTGTGCCACATTCTGTGTATGTGTACCACATTCTGTGTATCTGTACCACATTCTGTGTGTGTGCACGCGTTTACACGCGGGCGGACAGCTTTAACGTGTCGGCGTGGAGGGGGGCTGGAGGGGTTGTTTCTGTCGTTTTCTCTTCTCGCCCCTCTATATCCCTCCCTCCTCTCTCGCTGTCTGGGCAAGGCGCATTATAAATCTGCGGAGGGGTGCGCGTTTTGGCAGCTCGCGAGCCTAGATAATGGCGATTGTCACAATCGCTTAGAGCTAATCTGTCCGCGGAGAGGAGGAGGAGGAGGACGGTGGGGGCGAGGGTGGATGTGAGGGGAGGGGCGGGGAGTTGTGGTGGTATAGTGGTGGTGGTGGGGGGCTGGTTGGCGGTGGTGTGGTTGAGGCGAGCCGAGCGGCGGATATACACTGATTGCCTTCTAATGGAACATGATGAGCTATTAGAGCGGACAGCGGCGCGGGGGGAGGGGACAGGGAGAAGGGGGGGGGGATGTGCCCAGAGCCAGTCCGCTGGGGGTGAGGGGTTGTAGGAGAGAGAGAGAGGGGGGGGGGGGTCTAGGGGGAAGGCGCTCTTTACCTTCACAAGCCCAAGCCGATGTTAAGAGCATGACGCGTAGCGGGTGTCGCCTGCGCGTGCTAACTCCGTGTGTGCCGCGTGCTCGCAGAGCGAAAGAGTCGCGGGGGGACGCAGGCGGCGCGCGTGCGCGGCGCGTGGGAACGCGTGCAGCCGTGACGGGGGGACGTCTATGCCCCCCTCTCTCTCCCTCTTGTCCTCCATCCCTCTGTCTCTGCGTCTCTTCCCTGTCTTTCCCAAGCCCCCCCCCCGCCTCACACCGTCCCCGATCTCTCCATGACTCTGTTTTCACATTTCTTGTCTTGTCCCCCTGTGTGTGTCTCTCTCTTTCTCTCCGTCTATCTCGCTCCTGCCCGTGAAAAAGCGACGAGAGTAAGAGGCGTGTGGCTTTCTCGCGGCGGTCTCGTGTGTTTGGAGCTGTGAAGTGTGTGGGGGGAGGGGGGGGGAGGTCCGGTGAAGAGCGAGCCAGTGAAGAGATCTTTCGCCCTGGCCGGTTTCGCTGACACTACAACACCGACATTCCGCACACGCTTTGTTAGCGCCCGGCCGAAGTGAGCGGCGATTGTCTCCCGGCGTTGGTGATCGTGTCCTCATTAGGAGCTTGTGAAAGTACGACCTTTCACGGCTTAGTTTCAATAGGATGACTATCAGGGCTAAAGGGAGATTATGGGGGGGTTGTTTGTTTGTTAAAGATAATCTCCCCTTATTTTGAGTATTCCACCCACCGCCCAATAGCATAATTTTGCTTGTGTTCGTTTGTAAATCATTTGCGAGCACGTCATCGTCAGGCGGCTTCAGATAGTCGCCAGGGCTCAACATCCTCCGATGAAGTCCTTCCAACCGTCTCGCCTCTCCAACCCCGACATGGAGGCCCGATCAGCTCCCTCGCTGTGAGAAATCATCTCAATGAGAAGAAGAAGAAGAAAGAGGAGGAGGAGCAGCAGAATGAGAAAAGTCGAATGGGATTCTCTGGCCGGCGTCGTAGCGCGAGATCGAGAGTCGTACAAACGTCCAATTGTCAACTTACGAGGAGGGACGATAGTTTACAACGCGGCGGATCAGTTCGACGTATTCGACGAGAATTCATCGGTTTCCCGTTACGACGACGCGTTGCGTTGTTGGGGGTGGGGGGGTTTGTTTGCGTTTTATTTTAAAAAAATGTGTACAAGTAGTAATAATAACAAATGACTTCAACGATGATAACTGTGCACTGGAAATGCGAATGTGTAAAAGTGTTTGATGTACAATCTTTGTAAGTTTTATTTATATTGTGTAAATATATTTTGTTTTGAAAAGCGACCTTTTTGTAGTTTGTGTGTGTGTTGTGTGTGACTTTCAATTGAAATAATTTTCCGACAATTAGGCGGACGGGCGCGCGTGCTTTTAACGCGCGCGATGTTTACATTTGGCCCCTTGCAAAAGGTTCAATTACCGTGGCAATTAAGGAGATATATTTTTAAATCGCTTCACATCGCCACGTGGGCAAGCCGATGCGCATGGAAACGAACGAGTGGAGCAAATGCGCATGTTTATTCCCAGTTGAAAGAAAATCACGTTTGTG